CTCTACACCTAATATTTTGATGTTTTCCAGGTGTAATGTGATCAGTGATCCGCGAGCACGCTACGGCTGTCAAATTGCTTACGCATGCGCCGTAATCTTTTTTTTGACAGACACTGCGTAGAAGTCCAGACATGTCGGCACAACAGTCCAATGTTAACCAAGTAAAGTAAGCAAGCAACGCAAATTTTATTTATGATATTAAAAAAATTGTCTGAACATGCTATTTTAGTTTATTTACTCATAAATTGTTGGTGGTTAACGCGTTTTGCCTGCAAGGCAGTGGTTAATCAACTTTCAATATGGCCGGTAATAGGATGGGTGACCAAAAATCTACTACCTAAATTCATCATTCGCCGGATGGATCTGCAGTCGTTAACACCCAGTAATCCGCACTGATCCTGTGTGGTGACTGGTCTGTCATCGTGCATATGTAACCAGACGTCCGGTTTTGGACGGGACCGTTCTGTTTTTTTGGATGTCTGTCCCGTTGCCTCTTAAGATAACCCTGACTCGCAAACATGTCCCGTTGCAATTTTTTTGTCGGACACACACAGGGGAATGCTACAAGACTGCATTTGCAATTACTGCATATATAGACTGCAATTACTTTGGGTACACCCAGCAAGTAAGTATTAGGGAAATCACAGAATATTACAGGTGCCTGCACTTATCGCACTATATCAGAAAGGCTATAATAGTCAAATTAAGTTACAAAAATTCGTGATCCCTCGCCATGTTACATTCTCCATATTTGATTCCCATTCATTGGGAAGGTCTATGTCCCAGCAGTGGGAACATTATAGGCCAATGATGCTTGATGTATAAATCTCATTGCCCTAAATCATGTGGAAGAAAACATAACTTTTTACATACTCTTTACGCAAAACTGCAAGTAATATCTAGTAATAAAAATAGTCATAAAATCAAAAATTATAAATCGGAAAATCGAAATATTCTTTTTTAGATCTCAAATCTAAAAAAAAATATATCTCCCCACCGTTTTAAGCAGATTAAAAGTAATACATTACCAAGTTCACTTTAAAACATGTACCGTAATAAGTTAATTCAATTCAAATAGCTTTTATTCTATTCTAACTTTACGGTCATTATTTATGTTTAAATAGCGTGACATTTTTTTTCTTTTACTTACGTGTGTATTAAACATTTTTCTTAGCACATACACTAAGATAAGGAATACTATAAAAAATATAAAACGCGTTCTTAAGCCATTGCCCTTTGTCGCGTGATAACTTGAATTTACGTTAAAATATTTAATTGCGTTCGAGTTTTTTTTTCTTTATATTTAGGTTAATATTAAGGTCAGAGAAAGTGTACAAAAGAAAACTTTTAACGTTATAACATGCAAATCGCCTGCTTAATTCAACAACGTATTGTTGTTATGAGTTCATAAATCTTATCGAACATTTCGTCTGAACAATAAAAGCAGCTCAATTTATTCGATAAACTGGTATCTGTTTTGCACGAAACTCGACCACAAATATAATCGAGATAGAAAGATAATCCCACTTCGGTAATAAAAAAAAATCAAGTACTAAACACTTTTTAAGACATCAATCATAACCAGACTATGAAGAGGGCGTAATGTGCTCTATGCGGAAGTTAAGCATCTTCCACAAACGCCGGTTATAGGATGTATGAACAAAAAGTATTATCTCGTGCTCCTCCGTGATTTTGGAAGGTGCATTAAGTCATTGGTCTTAGCTATATTAGTAGTCGTTAACCTACCAATATACATTGTGGTTGGTCATGGATTACATGAACATGCATCCCGCTTTGGGCGAGATTGTCCCACGATAAGAATTTTATGATAAGAATTTTAATATTGCAGGCTGTCTGTCACGCTGTCCCCAACGAAAATACCTTTATGTATACCTACTTAACCAAATAAAATTATCTTTTTTATTTATTTATTTATTAGGTAACACAATAGACATTAATCAAAAATATATATGAATAATAAGTAACAACTGTGTAGTACTAAATTAATATTCTAAAGGTGTTAACACAATAAGATATGATAAAGAAGAAAAACTATTATTATTTGTTTTTACTAATATGAAAGAAAACAGAAAGAATGAGTATAAATCAATCTGGATGATTAAAAAGATGCGACATTTATTAGGTCTACCGCAACTTCCCTAATACATTTTTTGAATTTAAAGAGATTGGCATTAAATATGTCTAATGCCTGATTAACTGGGAGGATCTCATTATAATTTCTACACATACCAGCGATGGGATTATGATATAATATATTATTTCTATATGTCGGTATGATAAAAGTTGGATACCTGCGCCTTGGATTATATTTGAAATTAATGTTAAGAGATGAAAGAAAATATTCTGAGTCAATTACGGAATGAACTAATTTATGAAGTGTTATTAAATAATGTTGATAACGACGTGTGTTAAGAGATGTAATATTGAATTTACTCAATATGTCCTCATATGACATCAAACTACAGCTGCTACCGAACTTTATACTCAATAGTTTTGTGAATTTCCTTTGGATTCTCTCAATTGCCATAGAGTGATTATTGTAGAAAGGATTCCAAATCGTCGAACAGTATTCGATTTTACTTCTGACTAGGGAATAGTATAATAGAATTAAGCCTTATAAAATTCTTTAGTTATTCTATAGATAAAACCTAATGTTCGCATTGCACTGGTAGATAAGCAATCATAATGGGCCCTGAATGTAAGTTTGCCATCAAAAATTACCCCAAGATCCCTAACCGCTTCGCTACGTCTAAGGACTGTGGCTTCTAGTTGGTAATCGTAGATACATTTGTTACGCTTGTTTGTGAAAGATATGACAGTGCATTTGTTGATATTTAAAAATATACTGCTTAGAGCACACCATTGTGATATTTTGTCAATATCTTTCTGTAGTTTTATACAGTCCTCAATAGAACTAATCTGTTGGAAAACCTTGAGGTCATCAGCGTACAGTAAGCCCGGGCAAGATAATTTCTCAACGAGATCATTAATAAAGATCAGGAAGAAAAATGGGCCAAGATGGGAGCCCTGGGGAAAGCCAGACTTAATCTCTACAAGATCCGACAAGAAACCTTTGATGGCGACCAGTTGGTGTCTGTTAGAGAGATACGATTGAATCCAGCGGAAGAGTGACCCATGAACACCAAATTCACAAATTTTTCGGCAAAGCAAATAGTAATTAACCTTGTCGAATGCCTTTTTAAAATCTGTGTATACAGCATCTATTTGACCGCCATTGTTAAATGCAACAATGACTGAATTCAAGAAGGTTACTAACCGTGGATCTACCTTTTGTGAAGCCATGCTGTTTAGGCATTAAATATGGTTTGATGTGGTGGTATACAAAGTCATAGATGACTGACTCAAATATCTTCGCTAAACATGACAAGATACTTATTGGTCTATAGTTTTTGCAATCACTTAGATCGCCACTCTTATGGATAGGTATTATATGGGCAGTTTTCCAAACACAGGGAAATGTACCAAGGCGTAAAGATAAATTGAAAATGAGAGACAAAGGCAGGCTGAGCTGCTTAGCACATACCTTGAAAATTACAGCAGGAAGTTTATCAGGGCCAGCACCCTTATTTATATCCAACATTTTCAACTTTTTCAGTACGTCGGCAGAAGTCACTTGTACCTTTGTCAATGACAATGAGTCAGAGAGAAGCAACACGTCATCACAATTAGAGGATGTTACCGGCAAAGGGTTCTCGAAAACTGAGGCAAAGTATCTAGAAAAAAGTTCGCATACACTTTTGCCATCAGACGAGGACACCCCATCACGTGTCATTGTCTGAGGAATGTCTTTACTGTTTACTTTTTTAGAACGCACAAAGTTCCAAAACGACTTAATATTTACCTCCAATGCATCCTCAACTGACAATACATATTTTTTATAACAAGCATTTAGTAAACATTTCGCACGATGCCGTAATAACGAAAATGTGTCATAATCCCTAGGATTATTATGCATCTTGAATCGTTTGTGGTATTTTTTTTTTAAATATCTTCTATAACTAAGGCGTTTAGTTACCATACAGTAACAAAAAATATCTATAATACTCGTAGTTAACATTATGACTGGTTGTACTATAACGGTTTTCAACAAAACGGTTTAATTCTATAATATTTCCCATTTAACTTCCATAATTTAGCTCTTAGAACAATTACCTTGCCGAATAATACGTATACTTTTATTTATTTACAAATATCCGTAGGCGTTAGCTTTGACACGTAAAAAATTACCACATAAGTCATGACCCATTCTCCGCTATTGAATTCTTGTAAAAATAAACTACCTATTGATAAATAAATATTGAAAGAAACCACGTAGTTATTATATTTAATCGATGATACCAAGTTAAGCAGCAATCAACAACATAACTAAACAAAAATCTTGATCCAGAAATCTAAAAGACAATTGTTGTTAAAAAAAATATAAGAACCTAGGATGTTCTTAATAATAAAACAATTCATTATTTTTTTCAGTGCATAATCAACACATTAGGATAAACAGATCTGTCAAATTTCTACATTTGATTTTAAACCTAAAAAGTTTGAAGGTCCGGTTTAAAATCAACCAGAGTTTGACATATTGTGTCAATATGACGTGGAACCTTGTGTACATAAGATTTTTGTTCACCAATTCACTTATAAACGAAATATTGAATGCATCGATTTCATAACAATACACTCACGGCAATAATATCTCTCATCACGCACAGTAGCCGTGCATTGTTCTACTGACGTAATAAACTGTCTTAAATTAATGGTATATTGTTCTTTGTGGACGTCCAATGGGTTGGAACCTAGCGGGCTTTGTTCGTTGTGACTTCTCATGGCCGAATAGGTAGCCCTAGTGAATTGGAGCCTACACCATTACATCATCTATTGATATACAAAAACCAAACATAACTCACTTTTGAAGACAAATTTTCGTGCCCGTAAATTTATTAGATAGGTACTTTTTGAGAACAGTATGATAAATCGTTTTTTCTGTAATAAAAAAGGACTAACAAAAGAAAACTGTTTTCAATCTAGTTTTTCGGGCTAACCTTCAGAATAAGGATGACGACTGGGTAATTAACAAAGTAATTCTAATACTAATTAATAATTCTAATTTTAATACTTAGTCCGTCAATGAGATAATTTAATAATATTAGATTCATTTTTTTTACTTCAATGAAGAAGTATTTAAAAAAAAATCATTAGTTCCCGAAACCAAACTAGATGTCGCTACGGTACATTCTTGATTTCTCCATGACAACCCTTCCGGTTTTTTTTTCATATATACTCGTAAAAGTAAATCAGTTTTCAAAACTCAATAAACAACTCATATTATATTTGTACTTAGTTAAAAGAAACGGAAGTGACTGTCTTTGGGACATCCGTTTCCTGCAAAAATCAACTTTTGCTAGAGTCGCCATCTAGTGAGTTGCTTTTTTAGTGCTTTTCTTTCTTTTCAAAATGCTGCCTCATTTAAGAAGAAATAACTTAGATAACATGCATTAAAGCTGAGGAGTGGGGACTCGCTTCGTCACAGTTTTGTAGAAAATATACCAAAGCATCATGTGACATTTTAACTCAATTTATCGTCGTAATTTAATTGATGATTACGAAAAAAAGTGTTTAATATTTTTCAACAATCTACCCGACGGACAAACAAACAAAAAATTGTCGTTATCCCTATTAGGATCATGCTTCAGAATAATTTTGAAGTAATATGATAAGAATTTTAATATTCTTAAAGAAATGCTTAAAAAATACTCTGCCCCAGGTTCTCTGAGATTTTTCATTAAGAAGACCAAGATAGCATTGTGAATGCAAAATTAATCAAATATAATAACAAGAATTTTAATATTTACAAGCTTTATTACAAGAGACGTAAATTAAAATATCAAAATTATATATTGATAAAAAATTATATCTTTTATTATAAAAGAATTAAATTAATAATTGTATTTTGGCACGACGTGAAATTTCAAATGATAACGTTATCGCTTGGCGTTATATCAGGGTCAGAGTTTCTTCTTTTATTACACACAAATACCCCAAATGAAAGTTGCTGTGAAGAAGGACCGCCGGCTTTAGGCACGCAATAAACATTACTAGGAACTTGTACAGAAGAATCATTTGTCAGATGAGTAGAATGTGATTGTTCTGCACTATCATTCGGATTGTAATCTGAAATCTGACAATTTAGACCACTCGAAATATTATCTTCAGCTTCCATAACTAATTGGAACAGCTTTCTCTTTATCGATCTCTGAAAATATTCCGGCATTTGTTTCGTACTTTTATACATAGAATCAAAAAATGATTTCAATGGATCGTCCGAAAACAATTCTTGTCGTAACTCTTCCCTTTGTTTCGTCCGTTGTTCTCGTTCATTCTCAATTTTTTTATATAACTTGAACAAGTCGTCATCATCAGTACACAATTCAACCTTCGTTGTTTTACATGGCAATGGTAATGTATCAACAATTACACTATCCGTATTATCAGTATGGTCAGAACTAACCGTGTCATCTGCTTCCATCGATAAATCTTGTGGTGGTGGTGAGTTTGTTTCTTTTTGCCTATTGGACATGTGTGGTATTAAAAATTCCATTTTACTCATATATTTCCAGGTTTTACAGTGATTCCTTTTTCTTGTATTTTTAAGTGCCTCACGATGCGTGTCTCGTAAATTTTTCCATTTCGACTTTGCCAATGCAACTGTAAATAAATAATTAATATAGTTTTATTTGTTTAAACGTACTTAAAAAGTTGTATGTGTACAATAAACGTTTCATACTGTCAATAAATTTGCAGAAATATGTTGTTCTGGTGTTTTATATCACTCGATACAAGTTATTTGGATCCTTAGAGTTGAATTAATAAGACTCAATTTAATGTATGCAGTGTACACAAGTTTGTAGATTGCAATTCAAGTTGAAAATATTAATGAAAATGTAATTCTAGCATCAATTGCAATCAGTTTTGTGTACATACAATAAATAAAATGTGAATGATAATGTTGCAGACAATAATAAGCATTAGACATTTAGGGAAAAAAAGACATTTAATTATTCTCTATTTTTTTTTATTTGTTTACTACATATTCGACTAAAGCTACAATTAAATAATATATCGTAACGGTACAGCATGGACTTACAATTTTAAATAAATAAATGTTTAAAGTAAAGCAATAGTACATCAGTGAGTACGTTATAACGAAATAACAACGGTGTGATCAAGTGGTTATTATTTATATAATTTAACATTTTAATATGATTACAAATAATTAAGTATTATTCTTAAAGAAATATGCTTAAAAATCTACTTTGTCCCTGGCACTCTGAGATGAGATTCGAACCCATGACCGATCGCAATCTGGGCGAGTGCTTTAACCACTGTGCTTTCAGGACCTAACAGGACTGACGAATATTTCAAGAACTTATTACTTTTTTTTTTGGTTAATTTGTCCCCCTTGTTTGGGACGGGCAAAGGATGTTAGGTCCATACAGCTTATTATTTTTTTCTACCTACTACAGAGCGTATTTTCATCAATGTTCAGGAAATGCACCCAAACAGCCAAAAAAAATATTTTTACAAATGTTTAAACTGTGAATGCAAAATGGGTCAAATATAATAATTAAGTTTTGTTAAATGCAATATTATTATCCCTACAAATGCATTAGAAGTTATTATTTTACAGGTTTGGATTTTAGTATTTTTATATCTTTCGAGAAGTGATTCAGAAGGTTGAATACTTTCGCATAAATTTCTCATACATAATATCTGTAGGTAATTTGGTACAGGTACTTTATTATTGTGATATTATTCTTCATTATTAAGATTGACAAATATTTCAGGAAATTTATAATCAAGTCTTCAAGACAATTATTTTAAAAAAATCGTTATATTTCACGCAAAATCAATAATAAATAACACGAAAATATCTGAATTTCATTCTCTCTCATTAAATCGGATCTTGCGATATTAGCTTATGCTTTTTTGAACGTTTATATTTATCTTTTTTGTGAGAGTATATATCAAAGATTATATAATATTTCTATAATTTTTTATTATCATTTCAGATTAATCGTTTTTAAAAAGTATGAGCCTTGATTATCATAAAGGCTACTTTTTATCGCACTAAACAGTTCCCTAGGGACCACACGGGCGAAGCCGCTAGCTAAAAACTAGTTATATAACAAAACGTAAGTAAACAAGAATGATCCATTAGCTACTTTTCATATAAATTATTGAAAGTTGTATTTTTAATTAAATATTGTTTTATCTTCATCGATTTAATGTTACTTTAAACAGATTGTTGTATCAAAAGAAATAAGAACTACTTACCGCTCCCGATCTTAGTTTTCTTTATAACGTCTTTCCAAGCCGCATCTCGCACTTTTAAATGTCTGTAAGAAGGATGGTAAGTATCCCAAAGCGAAGGATGTTGTTTTACACACTCAATAAAGAATGGATCCATAGTTTTTTGTAAATTAACCTTGACACGTACAAACTACGCGCAGTCTCGCCCGGGAATGTGTCTCGGCTGAGCGAGCGAGTTATCGCCCATCGCACTCGCACACTCGCTCGAACCCTATACGTGTCCCAGCCACAAAACCATCCTAACTAGATAGGTAATAATACCACAGTAGTAATGATACGTTCGATCGCTTCGCTTATCTTTACTCGCCGTCTGGTTTCCAGTTTTAGTTCAATTTCTATATCACGTCGCGTTGGCGTTGATAATAAACTTAACAGAAAGAACACTGGGGTTATTACGTTCGGAATGTGGTAATATAATGTTACTTTAATATTGACAATATTTCTCTAGTTTTTCCAGTAATAAAAAAAATGCTTACCCACGTGTATGGAACAAGGCTTACTCTTTTTCAAAACGTTAATATTACTCCAAAGAAATCCATTTTTCGATAATTTATGATGCAGGTAGGTAGAATAAATGATAGTGGCTCTGACTCACGGATTTTTATGGATGACTTAAACAACATTATAAGTTTTTTTCCAAATTTTCGATCGTAGAAATTTCCCAGCAAAGCGATAGGTACTGTAAAAATCCCAACCCAAATTCGAATTCACATTATTTAATAATGAAATTCTATTGATTCCATTTTTTGTGAAAAATACATGACTAAATTGTTTGATTATACGTGTCTCAGATATTCTATTGCTATGTCATTTTGAAACTCACTTTACTTACCTTTGTCACGAAACGTTATTACACATGAGTGAATTCGAATTCTGGTTCGGATTTTTACATAACCGCTCTGATTAGACATTCTGTATAGTGGCCATACTCTTTTAAACTTAGCTTCTCAATAGGCCAAAATAAGTATGCATTTGAGCTACGTAATAAACAACATATCTAAACTAACGTATAATACCTAATATAAGTATGTATATATTACTTTTACATATTATTAAAGAAATGACTGACTCCTAACTAAATTAAAATAAAATAATTTTTCTTCTCCTGTAAATAGCACGATATTTTCACTTTATCGTCATTATGGGAAATACCTATAGTGTAAGTACGTTCAAGTCTTTTGTTTTATGATGTTTGTTACATTAATGAAACATTTTCTTATGAAAACTATACTGATATTTAAAGATGGAAAATTTCTAACTTTGTTTATTTGTTTGTAACAGGTAATCTTCGGTCATACTGATCCTATCATGAAAATTATGTCATCTGCGGGAAGCTACATCATACGCAAGTGAACGGCTATAATTTTCGAGTGCGATGTCGCAGGAAAACAGCCATTGTGTTAAAAGTCAAATCTTAAGGACATTAACATTTTGTAGATAAGCAAAATGCATAATTGTTTTAATACGGTTTTTGTAAGATCCTAATGAAGCTTCTTTTGTTACATATTCGTAATAAGAACAGGCTGATAGTATACTAGCGTTTCCATATAAATATTTTCTCATACCTATAAATTGGTCTCAATGGAATATAAGGTAATTTACATATGAAAAAACAAGCTGAGGCGTAGCTTCGGTCGCAGGGCCCCACGACAATTTGCACTTAGTATAAATATTAAAACACTATACGACAATCGCAATGCTTAATCGGGTTCGCAAGGGCTTACTGAGTCTGATATTACGTGTTTTAGAAACGGTATCGTTATGTAGAACTATTTCATTTTCAGAACCAATTTATTGGTACTATGAGTGTATTTATTTGCTTATTTGGATCATCAGTGAAAATTCCATGAAATATCGATTTTTGTTAAAAAAAAAACTTAAAGTTCAACATTCTATTGAAGTCAGTTACAAGGTAAAAATAGGTAGCATAATTTAAATTAAGAACAAAAATTTAATTCCGTTTAAATCTAACAATATGATTAAGTGTTGCCAACATTTGTAACTGAAGATGCGTCCAAGTTCTAACTTATTTTGTAAAAGTGAAAAAAATCCTATGAAATCATAAATATTAATTTTAAAACTATATTCAACATAATTAAACTTCAAATTGAGATTTTAATTTGTTAATGAATTATTTAGTTATTAATTGGTCTAAATTTAAAGGGCTTATTGACAAAAGTAGACACTACTTATAACAGAGGTATAGAAATACAGAGTGACACTATAAAAACATAATAGAGATCATAAATAAAATAAAAGATAAGCAAAAAGAAACTAAACATAATGAATGGTAAAATTATGGTGCAGAAACGCCAAGCTCTCATGCTTCTTCGGCAAGTCTGTTGCGTATTTCTGCATATACTGGCAATTAATACGGATGCAATGACACCACTTACGTAACTTCACTAGAAATTACTCAGTGGAAATACCAATCAGGGAATGGTGGTCAGAACAACATGACTCCTGCAAAACAGGAAGCCTTCTTTAGTTGATGGATGGCTCCAAAATGGATCGTAATAAAACACAAACCTTGAAAAAGTTTTAACCTTGGTATAAATGTTACCATTTTTCAGACTGAGGTATACGGCATTTTAGAAACGCTCGGAAGCCAACGGAACTACATACTACAAATCATTCTAGCATCGAAATAAATGAAATTGCAGACGAATTGTCAAGAACTGGAGCACAGGGCACACAAATGGACTCAGAACCTGTGTGGAATACCAAAGAACCATGCGATGCAAATTCCAAAGGACGACCGTCAACGTGATCCAATAAAATACTGGCAGAATCATGAGTCTCTTATTGAAGTATATTCGCAAAAATTAACTGCAGAGCTTTTGACGCTAAGCAGATCTAACACCAGAGCGACTGTACGGGCATTGACTGGACACTGCAAACTAAACAAACACCAATTTCACATGAAATTAAGTGACATACCTATGACAATGCCTGCAAATGTCAGTGTGTAACAGCAAAACCTCTCCTGTGTGAATGTGGACCGCTGATCCCCAAACGTCTGGGACGACACATAACCAGCCCAGATGATATTAAAGCTCTGAAAGCTAGGAACATTATAGACTTCTTAGAGACTACCAGGCTAAAAGAGCTGCTATGACTTTGGCGGAGAGTCACAAAAGAACTAACAGGTCGCGGTTGCTGCAGTTCCATAAGGAACTGCATAGCCCCTTAAAGCTAAATAATAATAAACCAAATAATTCGGCCGAATATCCGGTTCGTTTAAGCTAAATTCGAATATTATTCGGTATTCAGTTATTCATTGAAAGCACTATTCGGTGCATCTCTAATAATAATAGGTTTTAATCTTATTCTTCAATCTTTCTTGTCAATCATGTATTACTAATCTTATTTATAAACCGCCCACTTGCGACTTCTATTCTGTTTTTCTTTTGTTTAACATACACAACACAATACGTTTGATTCTTCCAAAGGCTATAGCAACGCTGTGTGTTGCATTACAATGCTAATCTTGCTAATTTGCTTCTGGCCTAGATAGTGGTTCCGAAGCCTCAAATCGTGGCTCTAATTGTTTTCGGTAGCACGCAAAGGTGGCTGAGTCAGATTTCTAATTGTTTCTCTTTAGAAACTCTGCTCAAGGCTACTTGCTGACATCGTAAATGAAAGATAACCAAGGGATATTAATTTTGTAACGTATATCCTAAGTACAACTTTGCCCGTATGTATTTTAGTTAATAAAGGTTTTAAACTAATAGATCCTTAGCCGAGTGCTTCCAGCCGTTGTTAAAGAGTTGCTACCTCTAAGGCCCCGGGTTCGGGTTTAAGTTTTTTATTAAAGCGCTAATTAAAAATTAATTAAATCAAATTTGAAAATTTTCATCCATCTTTTATCTGGCTATATCTAATGAACCGTGACAGCTAGACAGTTGAAATTTTCACAGATGATGTATTTCTGTTGCTTCTATAACAAGGAATTTAATAAAATAAAAATAATTTTTTCTTTTCGTTTTTTTAGATGGTTGGAATCCTTCATAAGGAACCCTTCGAGCGCATGTGCTTGACTAGTAATTATATCTCACAAAACTATTTCCTTTCAAGGAGTGTCCAAGAATTAAATGTAAGTTAATTAATATACAATTTGTTTTTATGTCCTAAGCCTTATTTTATTTTAGATTCGAATGAAAAACTTCTGTAAATTTGGGACGTCACTGAACTATTTACATTATAATCAGTTTTATTTTAAATATATATAGCTTTCCGCCAGCGGGTTCGCCCGCGTGGTCCCTAGGGAACTATTTATTTGGATATAGATTCGTATCATGACACGGATATAGTTACAACGACAAATTAAATGGTAAACAATCGTTACCATGGTAACATTTTAAATCTCTACACAAATTTTGCACTCTCATTTTCGTCCCTGTCCTGTCCTGTTTTTCGGAATAAAATATAATCTTTGTTCACCGCCTCCTGTAGGTGAAGGAATTTTTATTTATTTATTTATTCATTTAACAAAATTTCAACAGCAGTTTTCTATTTCAATACAAAAAAAGTATGCAGTATTATACAATATAACGCCAATTATAGAAACTTATTATGTTTACAAATCTTATTAATTAATTAATCTCTGGCATTGAAGTTAATGAAAATGAAGACGAATTGGCAAGAACTGGAGCACAGGGACTACGAATGGGCACAGAACTTTTTTATGGAATACCGAGAACGACTTTCAATGTGATTCGTATTCGTAGGTCCAGTATTTTTGGAACCTGTTCATTGCAATCAAATTTTCTTTTTTATTGGTATACTTATATAGAAATGCTAAAACACAAGTAACGTGTTAAATAAAAATTTTACTGTTTACAAAGTTGCAACTTAATAGTAATTAGATACTTGTAGGTAATTCTTAATTACCCTGTCTTATCTAGATATATTGTTTGTTGTGAATATTGCGTAAGTACCATAGGATAAAAGAGATCCAATATTGTATAAAGTATGAGAAAATCTAATTTTGAACATATTTATTTATAAAAGACTTTGCCAAGGCTATTTAATAATTTATGTTTTTGTATCTAATGGCTTTTTAATTGGACGGTACCTAAGTCTGTTTTTTTGTATGATAATTGTGTGACATCATTCGTACTTAATTTACGAGAAACATTATACCT